AACAATTCCCACATTCTTGAATCAGTTAATTTGAAATAAAGGTACTGAAAATACAAGACTAAAAATAGGATAACACATCCAGTAGTAACACTGCAGGGGATTAAAAGTTTGTTATTCATGCTCCATTATACTACACGGAGTTTCCAACATTGTTTATGTAGGGTCTCCACAGATCACTGTTACCCAGCTTGCACGCTAACAGCAAAACCAGCCATGAACGATTCAGGAGCCCTTTGTCACAGGTTAAGACAGAAGGTTGCAGTAGCAATATATTTGCTTGGTCATCAACTGTAGAATCGCATGACAACGAGACAGTTTAAGTGTTTGGCTAACAGGTAAACTAAACCTGGATAAACCAAGGAGCATACCCAAGCAGTTACCAATTTAATGCCGATTTAAAGCCATAAGGGAGAAAAACTCAGCTGTCTAGTGACTCTTCTACACGCCGACCATTAAATGAAGAAGCTCTGATCTGGTTAACTTCAGAGCATGAACATCAGCTGCCTGCTTTTTTTGTTGTTGTTTACATGAAGTGCCCGGTCATTTTTGCTAGCTGGACACTGAAAAACAGGTGTTAAAGCCAAACGTGTTGCTTCAGCAAACTTGGTGAAGAGGAAGCTGATTTTAAACATTTAATTTTAAAAATGTAACATTGCATTTGTTTGGAAGTGAACTAACTTCCCAGAAAGCAGAGTAAAGTGCTCTGCATCTTACTTGAGAGAGAATTCCTCAGTTTCTTGTCAGACTTTTTTCCTTTTCCTTTTTCTTCTTTTACCTGCTGAAAGCAGCATTTCTAGGGAGCGATTACTGAAAAGCAATACTTCGTTCTTGATGCATACAAACCCCAAATCTTTTTAGGAAACAAATTATGATGAATGCTACAGAGAGAAAGAATTTATCTGCTATCACTTTGCAATTTGCTATGTAATTTTTACCTCTTTCTGATGGATTTTTTTCTGGTTCTACAGCTGTATTAGTCAGAACTTACATAAATTAGCGTTTTAATGGACAATCTGACATAAGAGTTCTGTGGAAGGGATGTAAAAACACTCCTGACAATCCAGACATTTTGTTCTGACAATATTAACAACTTCTGTTAAAACAATTAGTACACAGCTGAACGGCATGGCATATGTGCCCAATTGGTAAGGCTTAAATTGGCAAGCCATTATGTAAGCAAATTTTAAGCATAATTTTAAGGAACTAAATGACAAACACCCTGTAAAAACACCTAACATACAATTAGGGAAAGGTTTCCAAGTTGTCTTTCTTTCAGAGCATAAATCACTGACTTTATACTAAAATGAAAACAATTCCAGTGAAAGCCAGATCAGAAATGTGAATCTCTAATATTTCAGCACTGATAATTGACATTACTTTCCACAATCACATACTACTAAGTTCGGTTAAATCGATTCTCATGTATCTATAGTTGATTTCACATCCTGATTTCCTCCTAGTGGTCCTTTACGTATGCAAACTGAAAAATGAGTAAGCAAACTGCTCTATTCTGCACAACTAACATTTCTGGAAAACACGGGAAAATGGTGACAAAGCTATTTTTCATCATTTCCTCCAAATTCTTTTCACTTTAAATTTGATCAAAAATAGTAATCCTAATGAAATCTGTAGAGTGGCAGACTGATTGCTATGGATAAATATACAGCTTAATCTGGAACATGGATCTTCCACCTAATTCTGTCAATGACATCATACAAATTTCACTTAGTTCAATACACCCACAGCACCTCACAAAATACTTTAATTTTGATTCAGAGAAACTGCATTCGCTCATCCAAGGCTACTTTTGGATCCTAAAATGTATCCCCTTTTCTACAAGGGGAAAGAAACAGAGCTGTACGGCTTCATATATCGGGTGTTTACAAAGGAAATGCATCTTTTTGCATTACCTGACCAAATATTAGGAAGTAGTTTTACAGGAACGGTGCAAGGAAAAACGTCGTATTTTCGGGTGGTTTTTGCTCCGCAAGGCTGCGGTACCACGGGAGGGAAGAACAGAGCAAGCAGTGGCAGCCAGGCCGTCGGGAATACCGAGACGAGGCTCTGCCCGCTCCTGGCCAAAGTGCGGAGCTGCCCCAGCCGGGCATCACGCTGGGTTCTCCGCTGCCCGAACAGCCCCGATAGTTCACATCGGAGGGGAGAGCGAATGCAACCAGAGAAGGAACGTAAACCCATTACCATTTTGGCAATTAAAATGTTGGTGTATGGAACAGAACTAGAAGGATCCAGAACAGAAGTGTAGACACTAAAAGGAACTCACAACACCTGGAAAACATTGTGCCGAACTAAAAGCAAGTGGTCGCTCCTGCCAGCTTTTCTCTAAGCACCTACCTGACTTCCTTCTGAAATGCGCTCTCACATAAAATCCTGTGCTAATAATATTCTGCTTTCTTTAAAAGTATATACAAATGCTCACAGCAAACAGGCTGCCACATTCACATAACAGTGTTTCTGAATACTAAGGTAATATGAAGGAAAATGCTTGCACTTTTTCTGTACATAATACAACTGCCAACTGTTCTCAAACCCCATGATATTATTACTAACATTATTAACACTGAACACAACTACATTTAAGCCTGATTTGAATAACCAAACTAGCTAACAGTCCTCTTATCTGACACTGTTCCCATTAAACGTGGTCTGCCTGCAATCATATGAAAGGAGAGCAGGCTCAGGTGAGAAGTATGAAGAGCTAACCAATACTCAGAGAACATGGAAGAACTTCAGACACATATTTAGGGGTGCGTTTTGACATATGAGTCCTTGAAAGTTACGTGCCTCATTAGCCACTAGGAAGTAGCAGTTATTGCCGATCAATTTTGTGAGTGTACTGGAGTCATCTCTTGATAAACCGAGGATGCCTACTAACTCGCACTACAAGGAACCAGCCTTGTGGGATGTCCTTTATTATTTTAAATGAGGAGGGAACATATTAAGTTCTGCTTTATATTTTTGGAACAGTCCTTAAAATAGATTTGGTGCTTACTTGAAAAGTAACAGCTTCAAAGTATTACATTATCCATACCCCATTTTAAAAATACTTAGCTAGAAGCAACAGTTGCAAGGGACCTCTTCAGGATCTCATACATTCCCCTACAGCCACAAGCAACCACATCACATAAATCCTTTCCTAAACTGTAATCAAATTTAACCTTTAAAACTTTATTGAGTTATTTTTTCTTCCAATAAGTCACATGAAAAAATTTCCCAAGGCTTTACTCTACTGATTGCAAAAATCTTTTTCCAAGCCAAGAGCATTTATGGCGAAGTTATACCCATTCAGTCTTATGTATTCACTGTCCTCTAGTTTGAAGGTTATTCTTATTGTTTAAAATTACTGTACTTCTAGATATCAATTCTGTACTTCTAGATATCAATTCTAATTGCTCTAGCTTTTGTCCCCCTAATCTCTCTAGTCTTCTCTCATATGAGCAGCTCTCCATTTCTTTGATCATCCTCTATATGACCCTCTTTGTGCCTATCACAGTTTGCATTTATCAAAGATGGGTAACGCACGGTTCACAACATCCCAGGTGAGGTCTCATTAATACTAATTCTCCAACTCTACAGAAAACACCTTGAATCTAGGATAATGCTTGACTTTTCCTGGGCTTGGCACTTTAGTAACTCGCACTTCATAATCCTTTCCAACTGAAGCATCCCTAGCTTGTAGGAACTTGGTGCATGTATTTCAATATTAATGTAATTTATTGTGGTAAAAATTCACGTGGACAGAGCAGGGCTCATATGAACACATTTTAAAAGTCTCTACTAACACAAAGCTCACCAGATAAAGAAGGGTTTGTCCCTATATGTAGATTAGTCAGGAATGTCAAGCCACTGAAAATAATTATTTCAGCGCGTTGTTCAGAGTACCACACAGAAAACAGTGGAATGAAGCTGTAGCAAGTTCTATTTCCTAGCCGTTAGAAAAAACCCCGTGCTTTCAGAACACTACTGCAATATGAAGGTGTGAGAGAAAGCATTTTCTCTGGCTGTTGCACAGTACTAACTTGCAGGTTACGGCTGTGCCATGTATGCAAGTTGGGACGTACCAGTACTTCGTAACACGAGCGTAACGCCATCATCCACGCGCCAAAAACTCCATTGGCTTGTAATGGCTTTACACTCGTTTCTGCTAAAGTGCCAGCGAAGCTGGCTAATTCCCACTACCTAAGTCTCCACGTTAAAACGCGGAATGCCACCTTTTGCCGACGTGGCTGAGCAGCGGCGGTAAGAGGAGGTGGGCTGCCCTGCTGGAGCACTGCCAGCCCTTCCTCCGCGCACAGGGCGCGGGGCGAACGGGCAACCACCCTCACCTCTTCCAGGTAAGGCACAGGCATTAGTGGGGAATGTACCAGTACTCGATCCCAAAAGCTTTGCAGATTTTTGAAATGGTAACTACACGTTCACTAAGGATTCGCTCCTTCCTGCTCACTACGCTTACGTCCAGTTTTAAGAGGTTATACTTTGCCTATGCATATTATTCCAAATGTAAATTAAAAAGCTGATTTCGCAAGAATTCCCTGAATTTCTGCTGCAGCCAGAAGTGAAACACAGCAAACCATGTAAATCCATGTAAAATTATAATTAAAATACTAAATTAGATTTCCTGAAGCTGACGGAAGGATCTTGCATGCAAAAAAGTCAAATTGTTAACCAAAGGCATTTTTATGAAATAAAGCTTTATTACACTTCATTACCTCCTCTACTTTTTAGCCTATTAATGATTCTCAGTTCTTTATTAAATCCTTTTATTGTCCTAATTTTGACAACAGTCTTGGGTTTCCTTGCTGAGCTATCTTGGAAGCCTATGTTCAGCTAGGGGATGGGCAGGGACTGGGTGTTAGGATTCCTGTTCTTCCCCCCTCCCCTTTGGATGATTTTAAAATTTCAGTTCAGTTTTTTACATTAATATGTTTCCCAGTTAACTAACAACATTATAATAATAAATGATAAAAAGCATGGATTCTAACCACTTTGTCCTCCTTTGGGAAAGCATCCAAGGAAGCAGAATAAAAAGAGAAAAGAAAGAAAGAAGAGAAAAAGAATAAAATAGGCAAGTATTAATAGACAGATTTCAAAGAAATGCAATTCTAATAACTCTCTAAAAAGAGATAAAAACATAAAATTTCAAAAAAAAAAAAAAAGCCTTAAATAAAAAGATGACATTACTGCATAGTAGAAAACATGTTTTCCCACCCTAACCCACAGAAGCATAAACAATATAACAAACAAAAGGCAAGTTACAAACGAATGGATGTTTTTCCATTTCTGTGACTTTAAACAGTGGGTGAAAAATACTTAAAATATAGTCAATTTTTTTCTCAGTAAAGATAATCTGTATCATATGCACTCTAACTAATAGTATAACGTAACATGTCAAACTATATTTTCATAGACTTGCTCTAATGACACCACCTGCAGGTAATGCAATGTAATGCAACTATTTACATGAAAAGATGAATATATGAAAATTTTTGTCCAATACACCTACATAATTTTTTCAGAATGTGAATTTAATTTAATGGACTCACAAGTACATCAGGGCTACAAAAAACTTGCAAAATAAAGATGAAATACATTTTTCGAGGGCTTTTTTTTTGTTTACATGAAATTTCAGAAGCCCTATTTAGTTGATGTTTAGCTCAACAAAAGTGAAAAGGGCATAAACTAGTTCCATTATGAACATGATTATCTGCTATAAAATTTGTGACCACTTTAAACTGAATTTGTACTGATATGAAGAGCACGAACACATGTCCCCTACAAAAGACTGGCACCTTAAAACCATATGAGAAAGTTACCTCATCTCACGATAGATAACAAAACTCTTCATGCAACAGAAGGGTATTTGTAAAATGTTTTATAACACACCATAGTCCTAGATGACCAGCCAAAATTAATCACTGGATAATGGTCTTCCAAATATAGATCCTACCACTCATGTCCAAGTGAACAGTCGGTTCCTTGTAAGGGACTGACTGAACAGAGGGAATTCTCAGATACCCTTCAGTTTTATGGACAGCTACAGCGGCTAACTGCATGTGGATCAGAGGGAAAAAGATTCCTCTCACCTGCCTGAAAGTCGGATACCTAATCCAGATTAATCTATAGTTTTAAAATAATTTTAAAATAAATCGACACAACACTCTCACTGTGGTAAGAAAAATGGTTGGGGTTTTTTCCTAACCAAATAATTGACTGATTTTATGTAAGAGAAATCTATAAATGTATATGAAAAGCTCTATAAAAAAAGAAATCTGAAATGAAATAAGAGTTCAATAAAAATTTATCAATGTGGAGTTGTACCTGAGCAAAAGGGTTTCTCTTTCATTCTATGAAAAGCAAGTACGTTTTCTTCAAGCCATCACACAGTAAAACTATACACTATGTATTCTTTTTTTTTTAAGTAAACTCAGTGAATCCTATGTATCTCCACAATCATTAAATACATTATTCTACTTTATACACGCCTCATAACGAAGTGATGAATGAAACACTTAAGTAAAATGAAGCATGAAATGCCAAACTTAAGGTGAACAATCTGCAGCATGACAATGTCAAGGAGGCTTTTTCTTAAGAGTACACATCAGAAGACTTACATTGTTTGATCGCAGAGAGACACGACCTCCACATCGAGCACAAAACTTGGTCCGGCAATAAGAGCATAAATGGCCACAACCATCTGCAAACTTTGTTTTATGACAGATTCCACATGTTGGAGCATCATCCTTGTGCTCTCCCTGGTAACGGCGGGCTTCTTCCCCTATCTTTCTTACTTGCTCTTTATAGCTTTCAAATTGTTGATGCAACCTCCTGCATAGATGAGAAAAAAGTTTATATAGCAAGAATAGGAGGAAATACCACTACTGTGTATTTCTTTCTTTCAATTTATAACTCTACCTAATATTCTTGGCATGTTCACAAAAATAAATTTACCTCATATCAAATACACACTGCACATGGAAGGCTGCATAGGAGAATCTAAAGGAAGAAAATAACAGACATATGATACGTATTCCTATTAGGTTTACTTCAAAGCTCATGAGCAAATCATTTCACTTGACCAGAAATTGATCCAAATATAAAAAGATGGCAAAAAATGCATAGTTTTAAACAGAAGTATCTACCATGTACAGAATAAAAGCAGAAATATAATTGCCTGAGCAAATTTGCATTGCTTTTTAATCAACATTATTTATACAGCAGGTGTAATAAAAATATATATATATCAACCTTCAGTCACAGTGTCACACTTCTGTTTTCAAAATCCAAATTACTAACACCTGTAACTTAAAGATTTCAAAACACGCTCTAGAAGCACAGTGGCCCTACAAGAATCTGAGAATAATTTTCTATGTCAAATCTAGATATTAACCATCTGTTGTATTCTCTCTGGTTAAGCATGAGGGACTACTTAAGGTTTGCTGTCCCTCATTACAGACATTTCTTCCAGCTTAGCTGTAGGAGTATATAGGAGTATTAGCGGGGATATAGATTCCTAAGACGAAGACTGGTGTTCAAAGAAGTAGCACTCTCCTCCAGCTGCCCCAAATAACAAACAGCCTGACACTATACCCACCAACGGGCGAAGTGTCTTGCTACCCAAAAGACCCAGCTTCTAATCATGAGCTCAGGTAAGAGCACTCAGCCCTCTAGCCTTCACTTCCCCTTCTGTAAATCAGAGATAATAATAATTAAATATTTAGTGATAAAATTTTTCTTTTCATTATGATATTATCTCTGAAGAAAAAACATGTCCTCCTGTTGGTTTCTATGAGATTTTCTCGGCAAAGATGAAGTTTCGGAGAGGAACCAGCTCAAGGTCCAGGCACTTCCAAAAGGAGCAACCCAGCTCCTCTCCTGCTCCTGGCTGCATGCTCCTACTGCTCCTTAGGCACTCATTTTCACATCCACCAGATCCCTCCCAGCCAGCTAAATGTCGTGGTTTAACCCCAGCCGGCAGCTAAGCACCACGCAGCCGCTCGCTCCCTCCTCCCCCAGTAGTGGGATGGAGGAAAGAATCAGGAAAAAAAAGTAAAACTCGTGGGTTGAGATAAGAATGATTTAATAACTAAAGTAAAATTAAAAAAAAAAGAAAAAAAAAGAAAGAACAAAACAAAACAAGAGAAGACAAGCGATGCACAATGCAATTGCTCACCACCCACTGGCTGATGCCCAAGCAGTGATCTGCCCTTCTCGCCAGCTCCCCCCAGTTTCTATACTGGACATGATGTTCTATGGTGTGGCACAGCCCTTGGGCTAGTTCAGGTCAGCTGTCCTGGCCATGCTCCCTCTCAGGTTTTTGTACACCTGCTTGCTGGCAGAGCACAGGAAAATGAAAAATCCTTGACTTAGGATAAGCGCTACTTAGCAACAACTAAAACAACAGCGTGTTATCAACTTTATTCTCACACTAAGCCCAAACCACACTGTACCAGCTACTAAGAAGAACATTAACTCTATCCCAGCTGAAACCAGGACAGTAACCCATGAACCTGAACCAACAGAAAATTAATTATCCTACCATAAAAAAAAAAAAAAAAAAAATTGTTTTCCCATCATTTCGCTTCCTGAATCACTCTGCTCTGAGCAGGGCACTGGATACCTGGGAGGAAGGTAGGACATGAGCTCCTGAAACCAGAAATGAAAAGGACCAGTAAAGGGCAGAATCACCCTTTTTGCAGCAACGAGCTCAGCTGCCATGAAGCTTAATTTACCCCACCCCGAAGCTTAATTCAAAAGGATCATTAGTTCAGCTGTCAACTATCTTACTATTCATCAAATCATACAAGAAAGAAAAATTTCTGTAGGTGCACCAGGACAGCACCGCAACTCCTGACCTTCGTTTTCACGAGCTTGAGCAAGACCTCAGACACCCTAAGGGGGAGAGTGCAGCAGGGCACATTTAACAACTCCGGCTTTTCACATCGCTACGTGGAACCCACAGGCTTTTCACCTGCATTTCCAGATGTTGCTTCAAATCCACATCTCCATGGATAGCATTAAAAAAATCAGGAACAGCTAAATAGGTTATTAATAGAAACAGGGAGTTTAATGAATGATAACAGTAGGTGTGTTGTCTGTAGAGGTCCTGTTGACATCCTTCATCTCCACTACCTGCTTTGAGCTACTTACTCCCCTAATTAGCATTGAGACTCACACCATTTAACCAATATATTACTAGTGAGACAATGTCATGTTTCTGTGGGATTTCGTATGTGTGTGTGGTGGACTTCTTTTGACTTTTAAGATATAAGTAATCAGTGTTATTTCTATGAAATACTGTCTTGGTGAAGTGGAGATTTTTACTTTAATACTTACTTTGATGTTCAAGCCTAGAAAATTATAATTCAACTGAACTAACAGGAATCGTGGTAAAATACACATTTCATTTCGACAGGACTATCACTGCTGATAACTACATAAATCAACCAACTCTCAGACTAAAAACAGTAACTTCATACGGGCACATTCTAGTGAGGATGCAGCAATAGCAAAAGCTAAGAAGCCAGATAATCTATTCTCCCTCACTACAAACACAATGCATTATACTTAATGCTTTATGCTAATGAAAAACTTGGCAGGAGTAGCAAAGGGGGTTTTTTGTTTTATTTTTATATTTTACTAACCTGCCTAAAAACCCTTTGCAGTATCGAGCAAGATGAGAAAAGTAGGTCAAAAGAATTAGGCAAAATACTGGAGAAACTTAATACTTTTGGCCACATTATTGGATTACACAGATGATTTAGCTTATCTTACACAGCTGCTCACTTATAATGCATATAAACAACAGAAGACATTCAGGAATTTGTATAATAACCAGCTTAATGAATGCAATTAAATAATGGAGAGGTCTATAGGTAAATTTCTTATTACATCAAATATTCTATTAAAAAATGGAACCATGGAAACTAAATTCAGTTCTACGGCAAGACCAAAAGCTCTGGCTCTACACTAACGTGGAAAGGGAAGAAAACAGCAAGCACTGCCCCTCTTCCTGTTCTTTTCCAAGCAGACAGTCTACATCTCATTTTTTTTCGGTCTCGTATGAAGCTTAGGAAGTGTGTTAAGACAATGCTGTTCTGCCCTTCTGTGCATACCAAGGGGTAGATGAACATACTAGCAACTAAGCAAAACATAACTGAGAGGTGATTTCATTTCTTTATAAATAAGTATCACTTATTCATAGATTTCTTATTTTCTGCAGCAGTCTAAGACCCTTTTTACCATGAGGGGTTCAAAACCAAGTGCTTATCTTGCACGTCATACTCCACATTACTGGAGAAATCCTAACATTTTATCGATGGCAGGAACAGAATTGGAGAAAAAGGTTGCAGAATTCACAGGGCAGAAAGAATCTTACCCGGCTCATGGCAAGTCTGGTTCAATTACTTCTTTTGCAAGGTTTTAACCGCCTTTCCCACCTTTCTGAGGAATGACAGGATCTCTGTATCTCTGGCTATTCTATAACGGCAGCAGCAAATCCCTCTCAACAGTTTTGCCTTATACAGAAGTATTATTTGCCTAATACAGAAATATTATTTGCCTTATACAGAAGCATATTAAGTATTAAGCACGAACTAAAATACAGATAGATATTTCTCAGGTTTGCTCCTTAACTTCCAAGCTATAGAGCACATTTTCATCAGACGCAAGGGAAATTTAAGTCTATTAAATATTCCTTAATTTAGACAAGCACCTAAAGGTTATGTTAAAGACTTAATAACAGCATATGATATAATGGCTTGGGGGACCCCTGAGGCAGGTATCAATTCAAACCCCTCTGACAGAAAGCAACCAGGCTACTATATAAGAGGAATATATGCATATATCCACACCATTTTTCAACATGCACCCCAAAATTCATCTAGTTCTGCTACTGAGGTCAATGGCATAGCTAAAAAGGGGAGGCTTCCTCACCCAAACAACCTCCAACAATGAAGGGGAAAAAAAATAAAATATTAGATAAAAAAATAGAGGAAACTATTCCAGGCCTTAACACTGGGCATATATAAGGCAGACTGAAGAAGTTTCATTGAAATTTTCTTTCAAAAGTGAGAAATACAGGAGGCAGAAGATGGCCAGAGGGAGCAATGCACTTCAAGTGCACTGTGGTAAAATACACGTACACCAAATACACTGTACTCTTCTTACAGTGTCCGTGCACATCAGGACACAAGTCTGAGATCGAATTCATTCAGATTTTGTAGTACCTATTAATAAATAACTGTTAAAATCACCTTTCAGATGTGTTCTGTAACAATACAGTAACAAATACAGTAAAATTCAGTATTTAGTTTTAAAATGTTGACCAGGAAAAACCTACCAAACGTTCTTATTACAAATTAGTATTGATGTTTGAAATTGGTATCTTCAACAAATTTCCTTGAACACATATTTTACGACAGAAAAAAACTCTTAAGTAGAAGAAATATCTTCCAATAATGTTATTTTGTAAAAGCGTTTTTTTGTTGGTTTATTTGTTTGTTCTGAGGGCTTTTTGTGGCGGTGACTTTAGCAGACAGTACATAAAAGTTAATGACCACTCTTGTTACTCAGTTTAAATGTCCTTTGAGTTGAAACTGCAAATCTTTGTTCCCACACGAAAGACAATGTATTTATTTCTCTGTTCCTAAAGATTTGATCCTTTAATCCACAAATCTATCAGCAACTGTTGCATAAGAAAATAAGTAAGAACTATTAGATACAAAATTTGAACTATTTAGAAACATATCCCTCCAGGTATAGACGTAAGAAAACATGAAAGTTCTCAGAGGTTTACATACTTATATATTTTAAATATTTATTATTGT